GGTCGACGGGTGACGGGGCGATCGGCCCGATTTCTTCTTTGACAGGATCCTTGCGTAATCCAACCGGCCCAGGGCTGTCAACGTGCCCATCGGCCGGGTCGCCAGCAGCTCTGTCGGCGTATTCCACTTCTTCGTCCGCCTCGGGACTCGAATGCTCCCCGACTGAAGACGGACCCACGTCGTCGTCGTCCGGATTCAGTAGGTCGTTCATAGTCAGCGCCGCCACTTTGCCCACTGGTAGCCGAGAGAGACCGTCCACATGCCCCATAGCCGTACCGGGCTTATGGTGTACCTTGAACTGCAGCCTCGACAGCTCCATGGCCCACCGGGCCAGTTTAGCGTTCGAAGTCCGATTGCCGGGACTGAAGACCCACGTTAGCGCTCGGTGGTCCGTGTACACGTCGAACTCGCGCTTGTCGAGATAACTCCGAAACTTACGCGTCGCCCAGACGACGCCCCAGCACTCAATCTCCGAAATCCCATCCTGGTTGTTAATCCAATTCTTCTGCGAGCCGGTCAACAACTTGCTGGCGTAAGCCACTACACGGTCACGGCCATCAACTTCCTGCATCAGACAAGCACCGACGGCGTACCGGGAGGAGTCCACAAACAACTTGAATCGCCTCCGGCCGTCCGGATAGGCCAGGATAGGAGGCTTCATAAGAGCTCTCTTCAGCTGCCGAAACGAAGCCTCGCAGTCCTCGTTCCACTCGGACGGAGCATCCTTCGCTTTCAGTCTCTCCAGAGGCGCCGATATCGCCGCATATCCAGGGATGTACCTCCGGAAATAGCTCGTCAGGCCCAAGAACGACCGAATCTCGTGCAGGTCCCTCGGCGGCCGGATGTTCATCACCGCTTTCACTTTCTCAGGGTTCGGCAGAATGCCGGCCGGCGTTACGATGTGACCCAAGAATGCCACTTGACTCCGCCATCAATGACACTTCTTCATCTTGAGCTTGAATCCCGCCTCACGGAACCGAGTCAGCACCTGACGGACACGCACTAGGTGCGTAGGGAAATCCTTGCTGAAGATCACACAGTCATCCAGGTACACCAAGCACACTCGCCACTTCAGGTCCACTAAGACGGTCTCCATCAACCGTTCGAACGCCGGCACCGCATTACAGAGTCCAAACGGCATCACCAGCCACTCGTACAGGCCAAACTTACACGTGAACGCCGTCTTGGCCACGCTGCCCTCGTCCATCGGCACGTTCCAGTAACCGGACGCGAGGTCCATCGTAGAGAAGATCTGCGCACCTCCTAATACATCCAGGATATCGTCAATCAGTGGCATAGGATAGCAATCCTTCACCGTCACAGCATTAAGCTTCCGGTAATCAATACAAAAGCGAATTCCTCCATCCGGCTTCCGGATCATCAGGACGGGACTAGCCCCCGGACTGTTCGACGGCCTGATCAACCCGAGATCACAGGTATTGCTGCACTTCAGCCTCC